TCCCCTCGGCCTGGCCTGCAGCTCTGGGCCGCGTCGCACCAGGGCCGGCCGGACAGCCCGCGGGACGCACCCATGAGGAAGTCGAAAATGGTCATGTCCATGATGTCCAGGATGCGGCGGCTGCGGTCGTAGGGGGGTGTCTGCTTCACCTCGTTGCAGTAGTTGGGGTCCACTTCCCACCTGCAGGGAGCCAGTGTGAGCAGCCGGCCCAGCGTGGGGCAGCGGGGCTCCCACAAAGGGCTGGGCTTGGAGAAACGGCGTCACTGCAACACGAAGTGTCTTCCGACTGACGCACCCTCGGTGACTGAGGCTGCATTCACAGGCGTGCGGGCCTGGGAGGTGATGAAGCCACGCCTCCCGCCCTAGATTGGCCACACCTGGCGGCTACCTCCGCCCTGGATGCCAGGCTTCTGGAGGGTCACTCTGAAGAAATAGCCCGGGCACCTCACTCCCAGGCCTTGGTGCCTAAGAGAACAGGGGATGTTTCTCCAGCAGGAGGGACAAGAGGGGCAGGAGGGACGGACGCCATGTCTGAGCACAGAGGGGCTGTGTTTCCAGAGCCCAAGGGGACAGGCAGCCCCCCTTGGAGGCAACATCTAATTCTCAGAGTAAGGACGCCCCTCCCGCCCGTCAATCACGTGGTGGCCGTCACACATGGAGCAGGGCCCTCACACCCCTGTGGCCATGGACGGGGTCCCGGGCCCCTCTGAGCTTGTCTTCTTGCTGCCAATGGAGAGAAGCCAGCCCTCCCCGACCCCAGGAAAGTCGGGGCCTGGCCCGGGGCTGCCGCGGCCACGCTCAGCCCACACTCACTCCGCCTTCTTGCGCTTGTGGTACGAGCGTCGCCACGGGTTCCGCCACGTCTTCCTCTTGGCCAGGGACAGGTCCGGCAGGAAGGCCGCCAGCGAGCCCTCGATCTGGTCCGGCTTCCCGCACAGGGCGTGCTCCGTGGAGCAGTAGTAGGAGCACTCCCCGTAGAAGCAGACGTTGTTGGCTGGTGGCAGAGGGCCGGCCGGTTAGTGGGTCCTCGGAGCCAGGGCCTCCCCCGGACTCTCACATGCATCTCAGCAAACCCTCCAGCCCCAGGTTACAGAAAAGGGAGGCCCAGAGAGGGCAGCACACCTGTCTGAGGCCACACAGCTGTGGCTGTGAGTTAGGATCCGAACCCAGGTTCTTTCTGCTCACCCTCAACATTGAGGGACTGGAGCAGGGGTCCTCCAACTACGGCCCGCGGGCCACATGCAAATACAAATATTTTATTTGTTCCGTTTTGTTTTTTTACTTCAAAATAAGATATGTGCAGTGTGCATAGGAATTTGTTCATAGTTTTTTTTTTTTAAACTATAGTCTGGCCCTCCAACTGTCTGAGGGACAGTGAACTGGCCCCCTGTTTAAAAAGTTTGAGGACCCCTGGACTGGAGTCTATGGGAATCCTGGAGCCCGTGTACAACAGCTTAAAAAAGCATTCGTGCTATTGAGAAAGTGAGGAGCATGTTTGCAAACCACATAGCTGATAAGGATCTAGTATTTATCACATACAAACAACTCTTGCAGCTCAACATGAAAAAGATAAAAACCCAATTAATCAATGGACAAAGGAGTTCAGTGGATATTTCTCCACAGAAGACCTACAGATGGCCAGCGAGGACGGGAAAAGATGCTCAACATCAGCCACTAGAGAAGCCAGTCAAGTCCGCAGTGAGGCCCCACTTCACACCCACGCGATCGTCGTGATCAACAGAACAGAGAACAGGTTCCTTGGGGACGTGGAGACATTAGAACCTAACGCAGGGCTGGTGGGAACATGGAATGGAGCGGCCGCTGGGAACACAGTTGGGTGTTTCCTCAAAACATTAGACACAGAGTACCCACCGGACCCCAGGGACCCCCCCACACCCAGAGAAGTGAACACAGGTGTGCACACGGCATGTAGCTGATGTCCATGGCAACTCTGTTCCCAGCAGTGGAAGACTGGAAACAACCCACACGTCCATCAAGTGATGAACGAATACACACAGGTGGTCCATCCTCACCACGGAGCACCAGGTGACCTCACACCCACACCATGGAGCACCAGGTGACCTCACACCCACACCACGGACAGCAGGTGACCTCACACCCACACTACGGACAGCAGGTGACCTCACACCCACACTACGGACAGCAGGTGACCTCACACCCACACTACGGACAGCAGGTGACCTCACACCCACACTACGGACAGCAGGTGACCTCACACCCACACTACGGACAGCAGGTGACCTCACACCCACACTACGGACAGCAGGTGACCTCACACCCACACTACGGACAGCAGGTGACCTCACACCCACACTACGGACAGCAGGTGACCTCACACCCACACTACGGACAGCAGGTGACCTCACACCCACACTACGGACAGCAGGTGACCTCACACCCACACTACGGACAGCAGGTGACCTCACACCCACACTACGGACAGCAGGTGACCTCACACCCACACTACGGACAGCAGGTGACCTCACACCCACACTACGGACAGCAGGTGACCTCACACCCACACTACGGACAGCAGGTGACCTCACACCCACACTACGGACAGCAGGTGACCTCACACCCACACTACGGACAGCAGGTGACCTCACACCCACACTACGGACAGCAGGTGACCTCACACCCACACTACGGACAGCAGGTGACCTCACACCCACACCACGGACACCAGGTGACCGCACACCCACACCACGGACAGCAGGTGACCTCACACCCACACCATGGAGCACCAGGTGACCTCAACACCCACACCACGGACACCAGGTGACCTCACACCCACACCACGGACAGCAGGTGACCTCACACCTACACCACGGACTGCAGGTGACCTCAAATCCACAGCACGTGCTGAGCTACACAGCTGTGGGTGTGAGTTAGGATCTGAACCCAGGTTCCTTCCGTGCACCCTCACCACTAAGGGACTGGAGTCTATGGACATCCTAGTCAGTGCACCAGGTGACCTTATAAGGAATGAGGCTCACACACTCACTACACATGAATGAACTTGAGAACACGGTGGTCAGCAAGTGAAGTCAGACCCAAAGGGGTCCACACATTGTTGACTCTATTTATTTGAAATGTCCAGGACAGGCAGATCCAGACAGAAATATTGATGGAGCCAGGGACTGGGGGGAGGGGACAACTGGGGTGACTGCTAACAGGCAGGGCTTCCTTCTGAGGGAGGGAAATGTTCTAGAATTGGATTGTGGGGATGGTGTACAACACGGTGAATGTTTTAAAAACAACATGGTGAATATTTTAAAAACCTCTAGTGCACTTCAAAATGGTGAAGTTTACAACATGTGAATCATCCTATCTAATAAAAGAGAAACATGGTAATTAGCCGTACATCCGCTACCCTTCCCATTGGCTAATCAGGGTGATATGCAAATTAACTGCCAGCCAAGATGGCGGCCGGCAGCCATGCACTGAAGC